CTTTGCTACAAATGCCTCTGTAGAATATTCTTCTTCACAAGACAGGTACTCTTGTTATTTTATGGCTGTCAAAACCACATCTAGCAGATTCTATTTGTGAAATATTATATTTGTCACCTCATGTAACACAAAGAGTAACTGTATTTCTGGCAAGAGTATCTATAAACATTTAAAAAATACTCACATAGGTAACGCAAGGTCCTTGAACTGTTTTAGTGACGTCCAATGGTCCATGTTGCTGCTTAGGATGTGATGTGGAGAAATATAGTGGGGTTTTTATGACACATTTTATTCTCTTTTTGAGAAAGAACTTCTGAGTGTTGTAGCTGTCTTCCATAGCAGAGGAAAGAAGACAAGGAATATGAGAAGAGATTGTGGGAGGCCATAGAGTTACTAGTAATATTCTCAGATTTCAGACACTCGGCTGAATTTTTTTTTATGTCCCTTGGAGCTGAAACAATGGGACAAACCAAAAGAAAAATACTCACCTTCCAGATATAAAATCACAGCATGTTTTGGTCAACAAAAGCAATAGCAGAAATGAAATTGATGTAGTAAATTGGACAGAGGAAAAAAAATCTCATTTAATATTGCTAAGGGGGTGGAGGGGAAAACATACTTAGGAGCTGGCAGTAGAAGTCAACCCTGGTATTTATTTTCTGGAAAAGCAGGGAATCAGAAGAACAGAAATCTTAGCAGATGATGGGCAAAAAGGGGTTTGGATGTGTTGACAGCGGAATAAGAATGAATAATAGGACTGTATATGACATTAGAAAAATCATTAGTGAACACCATTGAGTTTTAGGTAGCACATGTCAAAATAGATGTTAAAATACTTCATAGTTGATCTTTTTGGGGGAGAACGATTACAGGAGGGATTTGAGATCTGCAGAATGTACTGGATGAGAGGCTGGAAGTTTGATGTGTTTTGCTTCTTAGGGGGATGGTTAGGACATGTCTTGATCATGATTTGTGAGGTCATGTAGAGATTTGATACTAGCTGGTTCTTAATCTGGCAAAATTTATGTTAGCCTAAGATTCCATGGATGAACGTTGTTGTAAAATGTGGATTAGGTCTTGGAATACAGTCTCCAGGGAAATGGCAGTTCCTTTCATCAAAAAAGTCTTTAAATAAAAAATGTTGATGTTGCTTTGGAAAGACCTGCTGTGGGTCTATAAAATGTGAGCAGTGGGCTGGGAATTGCTGAGCAGAGTTCTTGGCCCGGTGCAGAATGTCGTGCTGCTTGATTATAGCGGTACTTTCTAGTCTTAGAAGTTATGAAGCAATGTAGTTAAAGGACAGTGTGCAAGCTTAGAAAAGAGTTAATTGTAGGCATGGGCAATCAGGTGCCACTGCTTTAATTTCACATGAATCTTATTGGGTGCACCAGATGGATATAGTGCTTTTCTTGTAAAAGTCTTTGTAGTGGGAACATGCGAAGATCTCTTTCAGGGATCAATATCTTTGAAGCAGGTACTTTGCAAGTCCATAGTCCATTTTTTTCGGACCTGAAGAAGCCTGTAGTATAACTAAAAACAAGACTTGCAAATTAACAGAACAAATGTGGAAAGCTAAGATGCAGATATGTACGTTATATCACATGGGTAAATGACATAGTTTTAGCTCTTGAAAGTACCGAATTGTTGGAGTTTTCAGGGTAAAATTATGCAAGCTTTTATAGCAGCCTCTGAACTATGGCTGTTGTCATTTGGCTGCTCATTTACATTGACATACACAAGAAGTTTTTAAGACACAACCTGCAAGAAGAAAGGTAAGGATACTGTAGACTGGTGCAAGCAGGGCATACAAAGTGTGAAGAGTAGCACAGAGAAAGCAATGGTGTTACTTAAATAAAAGAGAAAAAAGAAAACCCAACACATATAGTGATTGTCGCTGGTAAAATAGAAAGCACTGAGGAACAAGAACAAGTGGAGAGCCAAGGTACAGTTACCCACACCTTGGAGACAATGACAGGAAGCCTGAACTCGATGAGGTAAGGAAGAAGCAGCATTCTTGGGATTCACAGAGATGAGATCTAATCAGTTCATGGTTATGAAAATGATCAAATTGGCAGACACATTTTCTGTGAGTTAGAGTGGGGTAATTGGAGAGTCAGAGAGAAGATTATAGAGATGGAGGCAAAATGATGATTAGGTCCAGGACTAGCATTTTTGTTGTCTGCGTAGAGACAAATTAATGGATAAATAAAGTTACCTGCTATGTGTTTGAGCGCCATGAATTTTGTGACTTTGTTTCTAGGATAGTTACAGATTCTGTGCTATCACAGAATAAGATTTTAACACAGTTCTTTAATTCTCAATGTGCACTTTATCTTGGTCTTGCAGTTTTTCAGTCAGTGTATGAGTGTAATGACTTACATAAACTCTTGCTATTAAGTAAATATGGAGCCAAATACAGAAGTATGGATGGTGCTGTTTCAAATTAATTTGGTTTCAGATTTTAAGCTTATTAATTAATTTTATTTGTAAGAAAATGTCTGAAGTGTTGAAACTGTTCTGGACTATAGTCGCTAGAGGAGGAAACATTTGTGTGAACATAGATTTTAGAGTTGCATGATGGCCTGTAGGTTTATCTCCTTTTCTTGAACTTGAATAATAAAAATTCATCAGCTTTGAATTATTTTACTGCTGGCCAGTTTTCCTTTGTGCATCAGCATGTATGAAATCCCATTTTGGTGACATGGTGTAGTCTAATGGTCTGAACACTGGGCCTTGAAGTGGGAACTGTCACTGTCTTGCTTTCTAGCCCCTTGTGTCACACTGCTCTACTCATTTATTCTAGTTGTAAAATGGAGTTTTTGTCTAATTACCTCTGGTCTTATGAGTAATAATAGCATTTTTGATTTTTCAGGATGTTCTTAGTTGAAAAGTCATAGCTGCAGATAGAAATCCCTTTTAATAACGTGCAGGAGAACATGTGCAAATAAGTGTGTTTTCTCTGAGAAAGTAACCAAGGAAGCCTGACTTTCCGAAGATTTGCATTTTGTGTTCTCGGCAGTATTTCTTGTGTCCCCACTAATCCTGGCATCTGTCTTCCAGCCTGTGTCCACTGCAGTTGCCTTAGTCCTCTCCCAGTTTCGCCTTTCACATTCCTTATCCTTCCCCCTTTTTGTACAGTGATTGTGTTTACTGAGCCACCACAAAATACCACCTCCTCACTGCTGTTTTTCTAATTATTGTCCGGACAAGAAGCGTGTGGCTTTGGACCTGCCATGTGCTGATGGGCCCGAGTATGCGTGTGCTGACCTGCCAGGAGGCCAAATGTCGTAGATAATTGCTGAGCTCATTGAAACATTTCTGAAACCATTGAAACTCACTTTGAAGTTCATTGAAACTGTTGAAATCTTTTCATAGCATTCCTTACAATTCAGCCTTAATAATTGTGTAAAAGTTAAGAAAATCATGCTGGTTTAGTTCCTGTGATGCTTTTTTCAGTACATTGTTGTTTGGGGTTTTTTTCAGACTTGTTTCTGACATACTTTGTTTTCAAAAATGATTAAGATATTCAAATGATGAAGATATTTAAATACTTTCTGCTTAGAATGCCCCTAAAACAAATATACCCGCCTGGATTGTTCTGGTTTGGCTCCTGGAACTTGAGAAAGGAGAACTTCTCTCCCACGCTGCTGTTAAGGCCAAGTAGGGTTTGATCTGGAATGGTTCAGTGTGCCATATCCACAGGGTAGATGGGCATATGGGCAATGGGTTGCCAGAGCAGTGTCAAAAAGGCCTGATACTTTTTCAGTACGCTACAAGGATTGTGTAGGTCCTTGTGACTGTCACGTTTCACCAGGAGTTCCTGTTCATCCTATGCACAGAGTACTTTTGAGGGTTGCTGATTTTCAGGTCCCCAATTCTGTAAACATGGCTTGTGTCCTTTCTCTTGACATCATGCTCTAAATATCTGACCATAGCGAAATGTGTATGTTTAGCTTCTCCTTCGTAACTGTGATTTGTCCTCTTTGATAGTTAGCAATACACCGTATTTGTTTCTTCTGCAGATTCTTTCTGTGATGATTTTTGTTCGCATGGATCAAAATGTAATGGGGTACACAGATTTTGTTGGTTCTTTGGCCGTGGGGGAGGTACCAGCTTATAACCCTGCGATGGTCTGCGTGCGAGCACGGGAGGCAGTGCTGGCACACGGCGCAAGTAGTCTGCCAGCCAGGGATTTGAAACCCTCGTGTTAGCAAGTTGATTCAAATCAACTTTTGCTTTAATTGAGATGAAAAAGTTCCCTCTAATATCTTACGATAAATAGGTTAATTATATATATACGTAATGGTGTCTCTGATGATAGAAGTGTGGACTTTTCTGTTCCTGTGCTTCAGGAAGTACAAATTAGTGTGTGAATGTGTTTGGTGGTCGTTGTTTTTTTCTGTTCTCCCACCCTTTTTCCTGAATTGTGGAAGGTCCTTAACTAATAAGCAGATTTTTTCGGTGTCTTTGTAAACAAATGCATGCTTGAGTTAAGCTTACCTTTCCTAGTGGCTCAGATGATTAAAATTGTATTGTCTCTGGGTTTTGGATGCTTTATCACAGGTTTCATTTGCTGTATTATTCCTTAGGTGCAACTGTTTCCGTGAGTCCAGACTAACAGTGGCAGTAGTAGGAGTAGCTGGGCTCTGGTTTTAAGTAAAGAAAATTATTTTGATGATCAATATTAAAAGCCTTGACCATCATTTGAAGTGTCCTGTGGATGAACTGGAAATTATATTATACTATTCTCACACTTTTGATTTTTCATCTATCATTTAAAAGTGGGTTTACAGATAAATTGTGTTTTTCTAGTAGGTTACAGGAAGGGTTGGTGTTTTGAAACACACTATGTAATTGTGCTTGTCTGAAGTATGATTGTTTGCTTTCCAATTGTTTTTAATATTAATTTCACTTCTGCTAGAAAATCAAAGTTTACTTCTGTCTTTCTTTTCCTTCTACAGAGTAAAAGATGCTGGCTGCCAGTAGTAGAACAGATCTTCTGTGGAACATATCTCTGTAAATCTTCCCTAAAATTACCCGAAGGCATATATTCCGCCTGTGATGGACCCTCGGAATACTGCTATGTTAGGCTTGGGTTCTGATTCTGAAGGGTTTTCTGGGAAAAGCCCCTCTGTAGTAAACATTGGCACATTGGTGGGAAAAGCAGAAATAGAGCTAGAAAGTTGCACCAAGGAAGAAGACGATAGTAAGAAGAGTCGGGAGGGGAACAGTATCGAGAATGGGAAGAATGAGGCTCTGACTGATGCACAGCAACAGTTTTCAGTGAAAGAAACAAACTTTTCAGAGGGAAACTTGAAACTGAAGATTGGTCTTCAAGCAAAGCGAACAAAAAAGCCTCCCAAGAACCTTGAGAATTATGTGTGCCGGCCTGCCATAAAAACCAGCATCAAGCAACCAAGAAGGCCGCCAAAGAGTGGGAAGATGACAGATGAGAAGAACGAGCACTGTCCTTCAAAACAAGTGAGTAGTGCATTTATGTAGTATTTTGCAAGTCATAGTATATTTAAACTGTATTTAAAAGTTTCTGGCATCTCTGCACAATCATATTGTACTGTTTTTCCATGTAGCCTCTGATACTGAAGATTCTGAAGTTAGAAATGGTTTGATTTCATTTCCATCAACAGAAAAAAATGCTTTTGCTGTTTCGAAGCTTGCCAATGTTGTTTTTTTAACAGTAGTGAAAGATAATTCCCATCTTAACTTGAAGTGAACATCATAGGTAAATTTCTGAAAAGTAATAGCGTAATTTTTAGTCTCTTGTATAGAAGAAAGTGGGGAGGTCTTATCTCTATTTAAATGGGGCTGTGTGTTTGCTGTGCTTGGCTCTAGTATTTGGATTTATATTTTTCTCTTACCTGTTAGAACCATTGTTTTTGTTGTGTGTCTTAACTAACACTCTGCAATGCATGTATCGAGCAGTGTCTGAAAAGTAAAAAATACTTTTCCAGATATGTTAGAAAACAACCTGGTGATAAAATGGATATAAATGCAGTGTCTTGAGACACGTGCCAGGTATTTTCCAAATATAAGGAGGTAGCCCTGCCTTGAGGATATCTTGGTTTTATGATCTGCGTGATGTAACAAGTAAGAGCAGCAATAACAGATAAGGAAAATAGGATAAATGGCAAGAATTATAAAGGTAGTTGCATATATGCTAAATTTTACAAGTGTTTTGTTACAGCATGCTCTTTTTTTCCAGTATACATAAAAGTTTTGCTAACTAATAAAATGTTCGAATATACCCTCCACACTCTGTCTCCTTTTAGTCGGTGCCTACTGATCTAAAGCTGAAGTTTTTCCTTACACTTCCTTTTTTTGTTGCACCTACCTGTGTTTCCTTATGAGTGCATATTTATCTCTCCCAGTTTCCTTGCACGTTCCATATGTAGCCTTGTTCAATTTTTCAATGCCAAGCGATTCAGCAAGGGAGTACAATAAGTCCCTGGAAGTTAGAGTCCTTCCTTTGCATGGGTTGTCTGTTCATGGGGCTCCTGTTTCAAAGGTCCCAAGGCTGAAGGTTTTTCATTTCTCTAGGCTGTGTCCTATTCGTAAGGCTACCTGCATAAATCTGTCCTGGCATATCTCGTAAGGTAGAGCCTACCCAAAGGGAAGGAAAATTCCTTTATCTTGTAGTGAGATGATGTCTGTCTGGCATACCCAAACCTTTTTCTTTCCCCTAGCATACCCAGACGTAAGTTTTCCTTGAGGAAGAGGCTCTTCAAAGAGAAATAATAAATTATGCCCTAAAAGAACAAGTGTGCTGTATGTTACATGTAATAACTAAAATTACTTTTTCCACACTCTACCATTCAACTGCATTGAGATTTTTTCTCCATTATAAACAGAAAGGCGTTTTTAGTCAGCCTATCAAACAAGAAATTCTCAAGTGGTACATTAAGTAACTTAACATTTTGGCTATGGCCTTTATTTTACATTCTTCTGTTTCAGAACAAGCTTATTATTTCTTAGAAGAATAGAGTAGAAGAGAAGATCACAATTTGTTATTATACTTACGATTTTCTTTTTTACTTTTTGTCTTCCTTCCTTTCTCCTTCTTTCGCCTGCCTTCCTTCCTCCTCCTTTCACCTTGACTGTGTTGCAGTGAGTTGAGTATTGGGCCAATCTGGAATATCCAGTCATTGATCTCTCTTGATGTCCAAATTCAGGTGGTACTTGCAACTGAAAATCTCTTACTAGCAAAGGGAGCCATTAAGTATGGAAACTTTCCCATTGCATCAAGGGATCATGCCCTGGGAATTTTTACCAGGGAAAATAATTAATATTTAAACTCAGATGGTAACAGCACGGTATCTTCATCCTTGACATCTTTGTTTATATACTAGGTTTTTCTTCAAGGCATCCATCATGTTTCAAATGGAAATTAGAAAGTTGAGAAACAAATATTACTGCTATTATTAAATATTATTGATATTATATATGATACCATTGATACCATATCACTTTTTAGTTCCAGCTATTCTCAGTGGAGTTACTCCTGCTCCTTGTCTGGTGAACAACCTAAACATGTAGTGTAGAGGAATGCAGATCTGTTGCATTAAATTTGCATTGCTTAAAATAGTTTCAGATCCCTGACTAATGATAATTCATTTCAGATACTCTGCTCGCTCTCTCAGATTGTACTGAAATGGTCTTCAAGTTGTTTAAGTCTGTACATCCCTGCTGCCATTCTGGCACTTTGGATTGTTAGAAATGACACTTTACAGCATCCTACTGATTTCTAGCAAGTGTGATTAAAAAGTATCTTTGTAGAAACAAATGATAAACATGGTTTAAAACCATTGCATGTTTTGAATGAAGGATTTTTTTTTTTCCTACTGCAATGAAATAAAGCAAGTTTTAGCACTGCGAAAACTTCAGAAAATTAAAGCGATTCCTTAATCTTTCCTTTCGATGGAGAGGAGTGGGAAAAAAGCAAATGTATGACCAATTCAGAGCAAGGTGTGGCAATACTTTGAGCTGGGAAAGAAAACTCTCTGTACTTTTAAAGGAGGAATAAAGAATTTGAATGAAAAATTAGCACTTGCAGTATACTCGGTTAACCACTGAGACACAAAGAGAAGTAGTGGAAATCTCCTGGGAATATCAGTGTAAAAGTTAAAATAGTAGGAAAATACTTTGCACTCCTGTCTGTGACAGTTACGCTTCTTTCTCAAGCGTAGTGCTGAAGGGACTCATAAAACTTGGGGAGCGTCTTCAATTATGTTAACGGAGGATTTATCTCCATTCTGAAAGATAAGTGGGTAGATGAGGTGGGTAACTCGTATGTTTGTACAGTTTGTCCTCCAGAAATGTGTAGACAAAAAAGTTAATAGTCTTCTGAAAAGAAAATCACAGAACAGAAAAGAGAGACCTAGAAATGGCTAAGATTCCCAGGTGTTAAGAGAAACAACATTAGAAGTTACTGTAATAGCAAAACAGTATTCACTTTGCTTTTTGACACTGAATACGAAACTCGGATTTCTTTCTTTCGGAAAAGTGTCTTATGACAGACAGACCTTGCTATATGGGTAGTGTACCTTTACTAAGCCTGAAAACCTGAGTCTGAGACATAGGTATAAATTTTGCTTATGTTAGTTTTAGTGCAAGAGGTGTATGAATGGTTTACCTATGCTTGCAAGGTAAATGTAGCCAATGACGCAGCAAGGTTGCATTACTAAAGTTTCAGAAAATAGGAAGGCAAGAAGTGATAGTAACAGCCTGCTGTGATTCTAAAATAGTTGTGGTAAAACAGTGAAGCAAGTTGGAACATGCCCTTTTGCTCCATCTCCTTATTTCTTTGTAAAACTGCTGAGTGCAGTATTCTGTAGTTCTTTCTATTGCCCTTGGTTATGTAGGAAAGCTCTACAGGAAAGTTTGCTGATGAAATCACAGCCACTAACTGAAAATTTTCGAGCCAAAAAAGTAACAAAGCTAAAGAAGTGTTTTGTTTTCTTTTCTTTTTGGGTAGCTCAAGAATATTCTGTAGGATCTGGGATGTAAGTTTTTGTCTTAGACTAATTACACAAAGTCTTTTTTTTTCCTAGTAGTTAGCTAAAACTTGAGTTTAGAAAAGACTAAGAAGTCTTGGTGGTGAAAAATAAGCAGCAAACACACTTTCAGCCATTATTATTTGGGAAACTTGTGGCATCAATATATTCTATACAACTACACAAACAATTTCTGTGGTTCTTCAGAATGCTCATTTGAATTATAGCCTGTGCATTGGCCAGAAGTACAACAGCCAAAATAGTAATGGGTAAATCTCTGTGTGTGCATATATAGATGTACATATAAAAATCCTCATTGCTTGATGGTAGTTCTCAAGAGAATTAACAAACAAAATTTTCATTAACAAGCTGTTTTCTTCTAACTATTTCAGCTTTTGGAGGCTGAGACTATCTTGCGTTTCCTAATTTGATTCTAGTGTGAGAAGTATGAATTTTACACTGGACCTGAGAGGAGATATCCCTGTTCTTGTGAAAGATTATTTACTCTTAAGCTTTTTGCAAATAAGTACCAATAATAATAACAACAGTAGGTAATAATCTAGTAATAATAAACCCTGAGATCATGCTGTAGTGTAACAATTAATGCCTTTTTTTAGAAATAAAGACAATTTTTTGCTCTTGGTGCCTGTGATGACTCTGGAATGATTGATTATAACCTGTTAATAGTTTATGTCAAAATAACCTGGAATTTTTATTCCTCAGAGCAATGGTGCAAGTCTAGAAAATGTACGTCCACATAGGAGATTTGAAATTTTAAATTAATGTCGGTGCAAAATTAACAATAATACCAATTTTATGAAAACATATATGTTTTATGTAATTGCTTTGAGCAATTCTTTTGTTGGATAGAGTTTTAAGCCAGCCAGTTACAGCTAAAGATTTGACAGGAATAAATGTTTTCGTTTTTAAAGCACAAAATGTTTTTTAATGTAATGTAATCTAGACCTTCTTAACAGCTTTGCGCCTAGATGAAACCCACCATCTGAAAGCCAGAGTAATGTAGAATAGGTCTAGAACTCTTCACTGAAAATGCGTGTAATCCAAGAAAAACTGTTTTAGACTTTATGTGGCATTGTCAACTTGCATTGCAACATAGAGGTATCAGTGAAGAAGCTTGAAGTAGGTGCTTGTTTGCAGACATATTAGGTGAATTAGATGGATGAAACACCTAGGAGATGTTAGGGGATTTTATTTTTTCTTCTGCGATTGGTTTGTTAGTAATCCTCACAAAACTGTCTGCATTAAAATCTGACTTCACGCATTCTCTGATTTAAAACTCTGCATTTGTTCAAGTCAAACAGTGAAGTAGGGCTCTCTACTGCCTGGAACCAGGAGAGAAAATTGAAACACGGAACATGGTGCATGTAAGGCCAGCTTCCAGTATCCGGAGCAAAATGAAAACAAGAGACTAGATACACGTTTGTAGAGCTGCATGTGAATGTGACCATGCCAACTGTTGAAGCTTTGAAGTGCTGTACACATTGAAAGCAATCTCTAACTTGTTTTGGACTTCAAATCTCTCCTTCCCATGTAACGGAGTGATTGTTTGTGCAATAAAAGTTATTTCAGGGAAGTGAGGCACCTTTTTTTTGTCTCCAGCGCAGTAAGACATATCATGGCTGCACGCCGCCTCCCAGCTGTACGTTTTGTGAGTATGAGAGTGGCTAAGTTGGGGGGAAGTTCCTGAAATGTGACGCTCCAGCATAATTTACATAAGATTGCAGCTGCCACAGAAAAGCTGGGCTAAGTGCCAAACTATTCTCCATAGCCCACAGTCTGTTTTACACCACAGCTTTAAAACCAGTAACCGATATGACTGGTGGGTTTTGTTCTACTACTGCAGGAGGTTCGGAAACATCCGACCCCAACTGATGCTCGATGCTCAGGGCCACCCTCCCCCAAGAGGAGAACTTTGATCAGTGACATATTGCTGCCCTTGTGAAATCTTTTTTACTTTCTGGAAACACATTTGGGCTGGGAGGGCAGTGATCGTAAAAGCTGGTGAAATTTAGCTTCTGGTAGATCAAGGATTTTAGTGTGGACCTAGTAAAGAAATAGGCAGTGATTGAGGCTAGTCTGAGACATATGAGGTGATCTGTTTTCACTAGTTTTTAGATAACTTTCTTAAAAATACTTACAGTTGGAGTGTACCACCACATGCTATGACTGGTGCTGGTAGAGTTGTACTGGTGCTGGCTTAAGCTGAGAGATTTACTTGATTTCCTCAGTATGTGAGCAGTGTATTCAAATTCTTTTCTTCCGTTGTTGCCTTCCATACAAAAAATGTCCGTGTTATTCCTGAAGTTCATGGTTGTGCACTACTTAAGTTTAATTTTGTTTGGAATAGCCTTATTCTTCCTGTATGATACTCCTTAGTGATAGCGATACCTCCCATTCACTTTAACAGAAAATTTGAAATTTTTAATAATACAGAATTGCAAGAAGGAACTCTGACTTTGTGCTCTATGTTGTTCTTTTTTAAAATGTTTTTGCAGCTACTGCAGCAGCCAGATTAGTGCAACCTTCTCTGAAGAACGTCAGATATTTTGATCAAGATGTCTCTATTAACTGTTATCAGATGAAATTTGTTCCTTAGAAAAACCCACACCGCTAGCCCCCTCCCCAAAAAAATGTTTCTGTTAATCATATGGATTATTAAGTGGCTTTATGGGAAAAAATGAGAATTGTTTCCCATATAAAAATTTTTGTTTAAAAATGCTGAAGAAATTACAAACTTTTCTGACTTCTTGTCTGTCATCTCAATAGACATTTCTTGTTTTGTTTTTCATGTTCTTTGAAATAATTTTCAGTGTGCTCGTTAAATTCAGTCACCCTAGATGAGAAAGACATATTCCAGGGCAAATGCCTTCAGCTTTCAAAGAATCTTTGATGCTGAAGTAATGTTTTCAAAATCCTGGCATCTTATTTAGATCAAAACTACTGTTTGGGAGGGTTTTCTTATTCATTTATTTGTTTATTTATTTATTTAAATAGCTAATAAAACTTCCAAGCTTTTTGTTTGGAAACAGAGGTGGATAGGAAAAAGTGGAGCCTCGCAAGATGTATTTGATACCCAGAGATGGTAGAGTATGAGAATACAACAGAAGCTGTTCTAGTAGGATAGCAGACTATACAGGAGAAATAGAAGAAAGAAAGAGCCTGTATACACAAGTGGCTCAACAAATACAGGAATGAAGTGTTGAATTCCCAAGTCAATATTCAGGTGAATTTTTCAAAGGTGTCTAAGTCCAGTGAACAATGAAGATTAAAATTTTGTTCCAAAGTTCTTTTCAAAATTTAAGACCATAGGAAAGAGGATGTAATTCTATGAAGGTTATCATTCAGGTTGATCATAAAGATTACTTTTAATACTATTTAGTTAATGTCTCTAGTGCTCACAGCCTAACCCGGGTATGTCCAAGAGCGTTGGCAGAAGTGGTTGGATTCCACATTTGGAGTCGTGTTGTGTGTCGTGCTGAGTAAGTAGTTTCCACTTAAGTGCCAGGCCTGCATGTGGGCAGAAACACGTGTCTTGCTCCATCCCTGCAGAAACACAGCAGCTCAGGATTTGGAGTGCCTCTTCAGGCACTGCGGAGGCTCTGACAGCTCAGGCAGCACATTACCCCAGCAACTACTTCGCATCTCTAGGAAACTGTCAGACTGAATCCAGCTTGCAGTCTTCTGTTTAAGTCATGCTGGTGTAGCTTACTGGACAAATGGTTCATTATCAGCACCAGAGTTTGCTGTTTATCAAATGATTTCAAAGGAATCCAGGCTATATCTTTCTTCAGCATAATTACATATTGGCCAACCATAGTTACAGTTTTGTAAAACGTGATGAATCTAATGCTGACTGAAATCAAGTAGAGGAAGTACCACGCAATTGTCTTACTAATTTTTATTGCAGAGGGATGAATAGGTGTGACCTTGATGCCTTGCACTATTTAATGTTTGAGATAGTAGATCCCAGAAAGTTTTTGAATTGCGTGTGTATGTCATTATCTCATAAGGGATCAGAGTGTTCCATTCTTAGCCTCTGCTTGGAGTGAATGTATCCCATGCATTTCAGAGATGTTGGGCACTGTATGTAAAGAAGAATGTCCTTCCAAAATAAAAGACTAATTTATTGGGATGTTCGTAATAATTTATTGAGGTAATGGATATTGCAATTTTTTTTTAACCGTTACAGAATAAATTTCAAATTTGGTTAGGTCAGAACTGAAAATAACTTTGCAAGTTTCATTTACTCCATGTGTGTTCTGTGTGTTCCCCCTCTGCCCCATACAAACAACAGAATAATTTGACTTATTTTAGTACTGTCAGCAGTCTGCTATGAGAAGAACTTGTCACTACAGTGCTTGAGGGTATCATGGGACAAGACTGAGAAACACTGGTGGAGCTGTGCATGGACAGGTTTACACAATGCCTGCACTTGCAGTGCATTGCTCAGCTGCTCCTCAGTAGAATGTGAGGTTTTCAAGTGCTATCACACTATAGTTAACCCAGTACATTATTGTTAATGATTTTTTTTAATAAACATCAACAATATTTTTTGAGAATGTTTATAATTGGGGGATAGATTAAATTGTTTATATTTGAGGACTGGGAGTGAGTTTGGGTTTCCTCAATATCAGAAAAGCCTTCACATGTCCACTGAAATATATTTGCTTTAAAATTAATAGGATCATGAAGCGTGTGTTTATACAGTTACTCTGTTATCAAAAGCAAGTATTAATCATCTCAGCATAAAAAGACATTGTGTTACTCAGAGAGAGTCCTTGTGCTCTGTTCTTAAAGATTATTTTTTTTTATTAACTTCTAGGACCCTTCAAAGTCGTACAAGAAAGGTGCGGAAGTTGCAACAGTTGAATTACATGTGGAAGAAGGTATACAAGTAGAAACAAATCCTTTGTCTAAGAAAGTTTCCCCATTGCACTCTGAAATGACAGATTATATAAAGTCATCTCCTCCGACTCTTATCAGTAGCCATAATTCTGAATTAAAGGATAGGACACAAATTAACGGAGCAACAACTGTAACAGAAAAATTGGCTCAACTTATTGCAACTTGTCCTCCTTCAAAGTCTTCCAAAACAAAGCAGAAGAAGCCTGGAAATGGAACTGCCTCTGGTTTGGTTAAGGACTCTGGGAAGAAGCTACCAGGAACCATAACTGCAAGTGGGTTAGTTAATAAAGATTTGGTAAAGAAGTTGCCAGGATCTAGTATTGCCGTTGGATTGGTTAACAAGGACTCAGGGAAGAAGCCATTAGGGATTGGTAGTGCAGCCATATTGGTTAACAAAGACTCTGGGAAGAAGCCACAAGGGATTGCCCCATTAATTGGATTGGTTAACAAGGACTCTGGAAAGAGGCCACCAGGGATCAGCATTCCAACAGGGTTAGTTAACAAGGACTCTGGAAAAAAACAGCCAGTGACCAGCTCTGCAGTTGGATTAATCAGCAAAGATGTTGGGAGGAAACTTCCAGGTATTGGCACTCCAACTGGATTGACTAATAAGGAGTCTGTCAAGAAGCCAGCAGGGATTGGCACTCCGGCAGGACTGATTAACAAGGATGCTGGGAAAAAGTTGTTGGGAATAAATAGTTCTACAGGATTGGTTAACAAGGATTCTGGGAGAAAGATGCCGGGGACTGGCAATACGACGATTCTGACTAGCAAAGACTCTGGAAGGAAGACACCAGGGATTGGCAGCCCAGTGGGACCAGTTAACAAGGACTCTGGGAGGAAGATGCCAGGAATTAGCAGTCCAGTGGGATTGGTTAGCAAGGACTCTGGAAAGAAGCCAACAGGAATCAGCAGTCCAATTGGTTTGGTTAACAAGGACTCTGGAACTCTGAAAGCAGACTCTCTTATGCCTGCCTCAGAGCCCTTTAAGCTTCCTTGCAATTCAAACCTCAGTAGCCTTGAAAGCCATGAGACTACAGATTTACTGAAGGAAAATACTGCTGGCAAAACATTTGAGAAGCATATTATGAGACAGAATAAAGAGAGTATCTTGGAAAAGTTTTCAATTCGGAAAGAAATTGCTGATGTAGGCAAAGAGATGTTTAATGAAGGAATCTGCGTTCCACAGGATGCTTACTCAACCAGTGAAAAAGGGATTTATGAAACATCTAAGCATGAAAAACAGCCTCCGGTATATTGCACTTCACCAGACTTCAGAACAGGAGGTGCTTCAGACGTATCGACAGCAAAGTCCCCATTTAGCGCGGTAGGAGAGGGAAATCTCCCATCGCCTTCACCCACAGTGTCTGTTACCACCTTAAACAGGAGCCTCTCATCAGCTTCACAGTTAGCATCTAACTCTTTGCATTTAAGTTCCACAGCAGATCTCTTAGAAGGTATTTCAGATCAGATTGGCAAAACTCCGTTTTCTTCTGACAGTACACTTCTGAATATAAACAGAACATTGAACCATACTCTGAGCACCGATTTTAAAGGTGCTGATAAAGATTTAAGTGATTCAAAAGCTACTTATGTAGAAACCTCAAGAACTAGTCCTTCTACAGGGAAAAAGCCCATTTTGGCAGCTGAAACAAGCATTCATGCCACTGTCACTCCTTCAGTAGTTAGTTTTACAAGTTTGTTTAGTAGCAAGCAGTTCCTAAAGATTGGTGCAATAGCTGCATCGGATAAATCCTGCCAAGGAGCAAAAAATCTGAGCACTACTCAGCAATCAAAACCTTTAAAGAAAAGAAAAGGAAGGAAACCACGATGGACTAAAGTGGTGTCAAGAAGCGCGTGTCGGCCTCCAAAGGGTCTAGAACTAGAAAGGTCAGAGCTTTTTAAAAACATTTCATACAGTGCACTATCAAGCAGTAATTTGGAGCAGGCCAAATTCTTGAAAAACGTAGGATCGTCTTCATTTGTGGAGCATGAATTTGTTACACATCAGTTGCCAAAACTGAATGAAGCTAACGGACAGTCTCTTGCACTGTTAGCTGAGACTGATAAACAAACGCAAAAGTTCTACAGTACTCACAAACAACCCTCTAGTTTGTGTATGTCAGATGATTTCTTACCTGACATGTATAAACCCAAAAGAGGAAGACCTAAATCCAAGGAGATGCCAGAGCTTGAAGGTCCCCCCAAAAGAACTCTGAAGATCCCAGCGTCAAAAGTCTTTTCAGTGCAGTCAAAAGAAGAGCAAGAACCTCCAGTTTTGCAGCCTGAAGTAGAAATTCCCTCCCTAAAACAGAGCTTATCAGGACAACCTTTTCCTAAAAAGAGAGGGAGACCTAAAAGACAGATCAGGTCATCAATTAAAATGAAGCCACCTATTCTTTCTGTGGCACCTTTTGTTGGAACAGATAACTCAAGCAAGATAGGCTCTGAAAGCGATCAACATCAAAGCGGGGATTTTTTTGAGAGAAAGGACCAGCTCCGAGGGCCAGAAGAAGTCCAAAAACCTAATATTTGTAGCATGACTGATTTGGAAGTAGACTCAGACAGAAAAGTTGCCAAAAGAAATAATGGACAGTTAATGAAAACAATTATTCGAAAAATAAATAAAATGAAAACTCTGAAGCGAAAGAAACTTTTGAATCAGATTCTGTCTAGTACAGTGGAACCAAATAACAAAGGGAAAGTGCAATCTAAACTCCACAATACAGTGTCAACTCTTGCTGCCACATTTGGTTCAAAATTAGGCCAGCAAATAAATGTCAGCAAGAAAGGAACAATTTATATAGGAAAAAGGAGAGGAAGGAAACCTAAAGCTGTCCTGAATGGTATTTTAACTGGCAGTTCTGCCAGTTTGACAGTTCTTGAGAAGTCTGCTCAACAAGCTCCTGGTACATCACTGGGACAAGTACTTCCCCATTTGCTGCCTTCAACAGCTAATAATTCAGAAATTCTTCCATCTCCAGTTTGCTCCCAGTCTTCTGCAGTGAGTGGAGGACAGAGCCCTGTCAGCAGTGAGGCAGGATTTATTGAGCCCAGCTCAGTGCCGTATTTACACATCCACTCCAGACAAGGAAGTGTTGTTCAGACACTTGCGATGAAAAAAGCTGCTAAGGGAAGGAGGAGATTATCTCCACCTACGTTGTTGCCAAACTCTCCTTCTCACTTGAGTGAGCTGACATCGCTGAAAGAAGCCACTCCTTCCCCAGTAAGTGAGTCTCACAGCGATGAGACGATTCCCAGCGACAGTGGGATAGGAACAGATAATAACAGTACTTCAGATCGAGCGGAGAAGTTTTGTGGGCAGAAGAAGAAAAGGCATTCGTTTGATCATGTTTCCCTTATTCCACCCGAAACTTCCACCGTTTTAACTAACCTAAAAGAAAAGCATAAACACAAATGTAAGCGCCGCAGTCATGATTACCTTAGTTATGACAAAATGAAGAGACAGAAGCGAAAAAGGAAAAAGAAGTATCCTCAACTTCGAGGTAGGCAGGACCCAGATTTCCTCGCCGAATTAGAAGAATTAATAAGTCGATTAAGTGAAATTAGAATAACCCACAGAAGTCACCATTTTATACCACGAGATTTACTGCCTACCATTTTTAGGATAAATTTCAATAGTTTCTATACCCATCCTACTTTTCCTTTAGATCCTTTGCACTACATTAGAAAACCCGATTTAAAGAAGAAGAGAGGCAGGCCTCCAAAAATGCGGGAGGCTATGGCAGAAATGCCTTTTATGCATAGTCTCAGCTTTCCTCTCTCCAGTACCGGGTTCTATCCCTCTTACGGCATGCCTTATTCTCCTTCTCCCCTCGCAGCTGCTCCCATAGGCTTAGGTTATTATGGAAGATACCCTCCAACTCTTTATCCTCCTCCACCTTCTCCTTCTTTTACTACCCCCCTGCCACCACCTTCCTACATGCATACAGGCCATTTGCTTCTCAATCCCACCAAATATCACAAGAAGAAGCATAAACTTTTACGCCAGGAGGCTTTCCTCACGACAAGTAGGACTCCACTCCTGTCAATGAGCACATACCCCAGTGTTCCACCTGAAATGGCTTATGGCTGGATGCTCGAACATAAGCATAGGCATCGCCATAAACACAGAGAACATCGTTCTTCTGAACAACCGCAGGTTTCCATGGACACTATAACAGCTAATAGCTCTTCTAGAACAGTTCTTGAGTCCTTGAAGCGCTACAGATTTGGGAAGGAGGCTGTTGGTGAGAGGTACAAACATAAAGAGAAACACAGATGTCACATGTCTTGTCCACACCTGTCACCTTCAAAGGGTTTGCTAAGCAGAGATGAACAGTGGGTCAGGAGAGAGCCTTCGGAGTCTAATTCGTTAGCACTGGGATTGCAGACACCGCTACAGATAGACTGTTCAGAAAATTCCCCAGGTCTGTCCCTGGGGGGATTTACTCCAAGCTCTGAGCCAGCCAGCAACGATGAACACACAAATCTTTTCACAAGTGCAATAGGCAGCTGCAGAGTCACAAACTCTACCAGCACCAATGGACGTAAAAAATTAACTGATAGCCCTGGACTCTTCAGTGCACAAGACACCTCGCTAAATCGACCTCTCAGAAAGGAACCGTTGCCTTCTATTGAGAAGGCGCTACAGCCCCTGTCAGGTAAGGGAGCTCTAATTGTGCATACTTTCCTATGAGTCTTGCTATTTTATGTTGTACCGAACATGCACTAGAAAAGGAGAGGAGGTATTGCTTTGGCTTTGTGGAAATCTTTCTGTGTTGAATTTCAGTACTACTCTTGCTTTCACTCTTGAGTGACTTTGTTCCTTTAAAGCACTGTTTTGTTCAGCATTTGGTACAGACTAACGTAGTGTCTCCTCCAGAGCTGCTTATGGGATTGTGTAAGTATCTCTTCCTACCAGATTTTTATTTCTTTGTTATAGCAGTGTATAAAGTTATGCTAAGGATGCTTTCCCATGAAAAGGTCTTTTCATTTTCCTTACAGTTTCAAGTTTCTAGAGAAATGGGTTAAAATCTCTTGTTATTTTTGATATTTGAAAAGCCATATTTCTGTTTGTTTTGAAGTTTGGTTGATTTGGTTTAGACTAGCTATTGATACTACTATTGTGAATAACATTTCTGTTTAAGAAAAATGTTTCCTTTCTCTTTTGTAACTCCATTTTAGTTATTTTGATAATCTCTACTACAGTATAGCTTTCGATTCCTGACTCGAGGCGTCTAGCAGTACCTCGGAACAGTTGCTGGATGATGCTGGGAATGCCTAAGACCAAACCTTGTAGTGACTGCTTTATTCGTAGTTGGGCAACTCATCTTACGTAGCCTCAGGCAAAACTGAAACAGAAGTAGCTGCGACCGTATACACAGAAAATTGCAATGACGCTGTCAAAGCGTTGCTGTTTAAGGAAAAGACGTCCACTCAGAAACTGTGAACTTTGTCATTTGCATAATATTAAGAAAAAAAAATCAAATGTGAAATTTAGGACTTGAAGAAACTATACGATACATCGCTTTGCCTACTGGCTTAAGTGTCACTTCATGCTGTGCTTTATTTTTACAGATGTTTGTGGGAATAATTTTCACATTTTACCCACTTTTGTCTTAATTGCCATGGACACAGTAGACCACATAACAAAGACAACCTGCAAAAGACAAAAGTGTGGCTTATGCTCTTACTTGCTTACTTCCGATGTGTAAAGGAGGTCTGATAGCTTCGCCTCCCTCCCTCCAATACTTGCCTACACTCTGCTTTGAAATGTAAATCATTTGTCCAAAACCACTTGTGACTAATATTTCACAGACCAGGAGCCAAGCAAACAGCCAGCTTCCAGTAAGAAATAATGCCTCCTTGCATTCCTTACTCTCATCTTCTTCCTTTTCTTGTGATACTCCTCTTCTGATGCCTCCTGCCGCCTTCCTGCTCTTGACTATGTATGTATGGCAGGGCTTTTTCTCATCTTATTTTGGCATTTGGAGGTTTTATATTTTCCATCTTTATTTTAAGAGCAGTTGGAAGTGGCTGGATTCTTTTACAAGTTCACGTTACTTTGTACTATTTCATATTACTAAAACTACTCGGCGCGAGGGGAAGTCAGGAGAAAGCAATAAAGCTGTGAGATTGCTTCTCCTGCAACAATGGAAAGAAAAATTCAAAGTGCTTGATCACCAAAAGGGTTAAATTTGGCTCTGAGGAGTGAAGAATTGGTTGTGGTAGCTCATGCAGTTCTGGGAATTTCCTGAGGATTTCCATTACAGTGAATGATTTGACTTGGGTTTTTATGAGAAACAACCTAATTAAGGGAAAAAGCAGAGATGTTTTAAGCTGAAACCTGCTCATGAAGGCTCTGAATCACTCTCCCTCTTACAGTATGTTTGACTGGTTCCTCAGATGCTATGTATCACTTTCAGTAAGTGTATTTCCTGCAGTGGAAACCAGCTGGTTTGACAGTGAGACTACCTTTCCGCTAGGTATTCTCATTCGCAAGGAGCTCCTAATGCCCCACATCATGTGCATGCAGCATGTCAGAAAACTTAAAACTGCATCTAGTAAAAAGCCCCAGTAGAGTAAAAAGGCTGGGTTTTTGTTTTGGTGTTTTGGTTTTTTAGAAGATCAATGTCAAGTTGCATATTGTGTTTTGGTTTTAACTGTCGTGCTGTGAATTGTGATTCTGAAACTATTCCCATGAAAGACTTAGATGTTTTTGTGCACTTCAGAAAGCAGCACAGATGGAAAAAAAACCCACCTGTGGTGCATCAAAGATTGTTTATTTATTAAACCAGATGAAATTTAGGTGCATGGTGGAGGGTGCACTGAATCAGAGCAGTTAAAACAAGTAGTCAGAGACCAGCGTTGGGGAGTGCCTTCTAAAATTGTTCTGTATGATCCATAGGGGATATTTGTGATATTTTGTTTCCAAGTATCCAATTTGGAAAATACACTTCCTTTCCATAGGCGTTTGAACGTAAACCTTGCCTGGTTGCATTAACTGACAGATTCTTTCTACGGTATTAGCTGCTGCTAGGTATTTTCAGAGATTGCCTGTGTCCGAGTTGTATTAGACACAGGCATGTTTTGGCAGACTGGACGCTAGTGAAGGTCAGTATTTCACAGAAGATGAAGTTAGATAGAAGTTTACCTGCTGCGGGCTTGTTTCATACCGACAGCACATACGCAGAGTTATCCCAATGGTGGTTGCGAGGCTCTAACATTTTGTCTCGAAGATTTCTGTAGGACACTGTTACCTGTTCGTCAGAAGGTCACAGTGGTCTTTAGTAAACTTTCTGCAGCTTCACGCGACAAGTTATTTAAAAGAACTGATAGCTTATCATAGACCTGTCTCGGTGTGCTGCTCACAATTCCTGGAAGGAAAGGGAAAGAAAAAACAAAATCAGCCATTCAGTGGGGATCAGTGCAGCTGAAAAGTCTGTAATGCCTTCATTCCATCTGAAGATAAAAGGACCGGTTTGAGGCAGGCCATCCTGGTCTGACAGGAGGTGCCCGTGCCTTTCCCGGCCTCTGGGAGACTGGCCGTTCCGACCGGACACACCGGCCTTCTCCAGCACCAGCGTCTTGGATCTCACCGGCAACCCCTGTCGTTCCACGCAGTGCCTTAACGTCCACGGGCCCCGCGGCGTCACGGCTGAGGCTGAGGCTCGGCTTTGCTGCCCGTCGCAGCGCCCTGCAGTCCGCTCTCCCTCCCGTGGCCTTGGCCGGGGCGGGGGGAGCACCCGAACGGAGCTGCGGCTGGCGGGCAACGGCGCC